AGTTTTTGAGTAATTTATTTGAATTTTGTTGTTGTTTGGCTGGCACACTTCATCAAACAACTTTAGTTTTAGGAAATAATATTAAAGTAGTAGAATTTCCAAGCCTTCCTATATCTGAAAATACCTTTCTTTTTCCTTCAACACGAATGAAAGTTCGGCTGAGTGTATAGAAATGCCGGGGTGCTCGTTCCTTTAGAACTCTGAAAACATTACTGTTGGCATTAAGTTGTTCAGATAAATGTGCTACAGCCTGATTCTTTTGTAGATAACTTTTTCCCTTGTAAGTTCTAACCTTTTATAGTATTTGCTTTTCCCTCTGGAATTCAGAAATCCAAATATGAGCACTCTGATCTGAAGATTCAAGTTTTTCTTTGGCTCAGGAAAATCTTTTCCTTCTCTGCAGTAATTAACTTTAGTATCACTTTTTCTCCTTCCCTCTGTTTTCTCCTCCTGGAGTTCCCACTCTATGGAGAGTAAACCTCACTCTTCTTGTCATCCGATCCCTGCTCTCTGTTCTTGTTTTGTGCAGGTTAAGCTTCTGAGGTGTTCATGGGCTTTCAATGTGTCTGTCCTCTCTTGAGTTTCTGCTTAACCAACCATCACTGTAATTCTCCAACTGGTCTTTTTTCTCATGGCAGGGGGCTCATGATTTACCAAAGTGCTACTAGCATCTTGAGTCTCACTAGGATCAGATCAAAAAGCTCTCCCTCTTCCCTGCATTAATTCACTGCTGTCTTTGGTTTGCCTTGCTCAGTCCACTGATTCTTTCTATATATGTCTAATGAATTAGAATTGTCCCTTCTTAGGTTTAAATAAACTCAACAGAGGGCATATTAATGAATACATAGGGGAGCTCTTTCATAACATGCTCCCCCAGCACCACCTGATCCAGTGAGTTCAGAATGTTCTAGATGTGCACAGTGTCGGGTGTAATGCCTAAGATTTTGGACCACAGTCAGACTCGGAGATCTGTGTTCAAATCTTGCTTCTACTCTCTGGCTATCCCACCAGTTTCTGAGGTTGTCTTAAGAGAACACACAGAAGTAGATGAAAGCTACCATGAGCAGCACTTTGACAGTGGGGGATAGAAAGTTCACCCTCCCAATCTTGGAACGTCGTGTTCATGACATCTCCTCTAGCCAAGTCCTTTCCCAGGGGGAACACCTCTCATCTTTGCAGAAGCCTTTGCCCTCTGCACTGTCCCTTCCCCAGCTCTTCACTTTTCCTGCCCCTCATTTCCTCTGCTTCAGAGTATCACCTGTATCATGTATCAGCTGGTCTAACCTGTACCTTAAACCCTGCAGTTCTGCCAGGAAACTAGGCCCAATAGGTGATAACTCCCTTGAATTTCATAAATTTGCTTGATACATACTTTACCCTCCACCCCACTCCCCACCCCAACATAGAGGAAAAGCAGACAGAGCCTGAAATGAGCTTGATAATGACCCCCTGCCACTGCCCCTTGGTTGGCAGGTGTGGGGCACACCGGAGCCAGGCACCTTCTCCAGAACATCACCTTTCCCTGCTCTATACACACTCAAAAATATAGTTTCTCTCACATACAATGATTGAGACAGTGAGTCCAGCTGTACCACTGGGTCAGATTCCTGATCTACTGCCGAGTCCACTGAGGCCTTAGGCTAGATGTTGGATGACTGTAACCTGCTTTCTTCAAGTTGTTGACAGGTGACTTTTTGATAAGGAAGCATGTTTAAAACCCCCCTTTCACTTGAGGCTAGATTCTGCATAGGCTTGGATAGATAGAAAATAGAAAGTGGGCTCTGAGAAGATGTGCATTTCATTATAGACAAATACGCTTGTTAATGCAGCCCATGCATGTCTGGTAGTAGATTCTTTCATCCCCATGGCCCCTTTGGAGGTCATGCAACACCCTTTGGGAGCATCCATTGTACTCAGGGTCAAATCCATATCCAGATGAGGTCCACAAGGCCCTGAGTGATCTCATGTTGCCTGCCTCCCCCTCACATCTTAACTGAATTCTCCTGTTTTCACCTACCGGCCTTCTTTCTGGTTTTCAAACAAGCTATTACTGTCCTGGCTTTAGACCTCTAAGAACCCTGCTCAGTAAATTCCTGCCCCAGGACTTTTTTTATGTGTGTGTTGGGCATCAAACCCAGGACCTCAGGCTACTAAGGAAGCAATTATCACTGAGCCACACCCCCAGCTCCCTCCCCAGGACTTTGCATAAGGCTCCATCTCATCTGCAAAAAAGTTCCAAGAACTTTATTCACCAGACAGCTAGAGTCGCCATTCCACCCCTCAGCTCCCCAACTGCCTGTTCTCATTTTGTTCTCTGTCTGAAGGTACCTTTTATGTCTGCCTCCCCAGTAGAACATAATTCACAGTTAAAATTGTGTTTTAACTGTGTTTCTAGCACCTAGAACTGTGCCTCCTACATTGTAGGTATTCCGTTTTTGAGTAAATTAATAAACAGTTGCATGAACCCTCACAATAATACAGAAATCTAAATATTATTTATTTTTTTTGCAGGGGTTTGGAGTTACCAGGGATTGAACTTACTCAGGGGCACATGACCACTGAGCCACATCCCTAGCCCTATATTGTAATTTTTTTAAAAATTTTTATTTATTTATTTATTTTTTAATATTTATTTTTTAGTTTTTGGCGGACACAACATCTTTGTTGGTATGTGGTGCTGAGGATCGAACCCGGGCAGCACGCATGCCAGGCGAGCGTGCTACCGCTTGAGCCACATCCCCAGCCCTATTTATTTTTTTAGTCATGACAGTAGAATGCATTTTGATATATGATACATACATGGAATGAACATACATTAATCATATTGTCTATTCTATTTTGCTGATAGGGTCTCACTGAGTTGTTTAGTGCCTCACTAAATTACTGAGGCTGGCTCTGAACTCAGAATCCTCCTGCCTCTGCCTCCTGAGCCACTAGGATTACAGGAGTACGCCACCGCGCCTGGTTCTAAATATTATTTGTAATTGGGCTGAGGATATAGCTCAGTGGTAGAGCACTTGCTTAACATGTGCAAGACCCTGGTTCAGTCACCAGAATTGGAAAAAAATAAAATGTAATTGCTTTACGGATGAGCCTCAGAAAAGTTTAATAAGTCATCCCAACTTGTAGAACTAGTGATTCAGACTCAGGACTTCTGACTCTAAAAACCATCTTGTGTACACAGGGGCCAATGTCAGCCTCAGCTAGAAATAAGCGCCTGATTGCTGAGCTCAGGATTCTTTCCTTATGACAATCTTGCAGCTGTGACTCATAAATAAAAGGGAATTTGTCCTTCTTATCCTTTTACAGCTAATTAAAAAAACACCAAAACAAAACAAAAAAACTTTCCTTCCCCCAAGTGGTAGGTCTAAATTTGATAGTGTTTATGTTTGGAGCATTTGAACACAGAATAGGAGCCACACTGTGGCTCATCTATTAGCCTCACACAGGTTTTGGAAGGAAAAAGCAGATTACAATTCAAAATAATTATTTCTGCTATGAAAGCTGAAGAAACAACACTGTAGATGAGAGAAGGACAGAAGCACCCTTTCCCCAGATAGAGCTTTGTTTGGGCAGAAAGCTGAAGGAACTCTTTTCCTGGACAAGAACCTACACAGAGAAGGGTCTGGAACTTGTGTGTTTCCCAAGGAATCCTCAGGAAAGCAGCAAACTTCTTCACCCATCTTCTTTCCGAGCACAAGGTTGCCTGAACTGCTGGTCTTGTAGCACTCTCTTGTGGCCAGGAGGCAGCACTGCAGCCTCTTCCAAGTCAAAGCAAGGCTTGCGTTAAGAGCTGCGATGCCGCAGGTGCCACTGGCACCATGGCACCTTGGGAGCAGCACCTCATGATGCCCGCATCTCTGCCTTCTCTCTCTGAGCTCCAAAGGAGAACACCTTTAATCATAGGTGGCACACACCTGTAACTCCAGATACTTGGGAGGCTGAGGCAGGAGGATCAGAAAAAAGTTTCATTTTGTCTTTAATGAGTCATGAGGTGAAGTTGTAATTGGGAGCTGAGTCCAGATGGAAATTAAGGAGTAAGTACATGCACATCACCATGAGATTTGCTCAGGGACCCCCGAATGAAGCTAGGTTCCCTAATCCTAGCTCCCATCCATGTATCTATCATAGTACTAGATATATGGTAGGTTTTCAATTAAAAAACAACTATTTTTCAAACTTTGATTTTCCTAATAGCTCTATTTTCTTCTGTCCACATCTTCCTTCCTTTTCCCTGCGTCCCTCTTCCCATGTCCATGTACAACATATTTGTTCATTCACTTTCTTCTTCCCCTTTCACAGTCTCTCTGTTCTCAATCTCTCAGTTCCTTCTGAAATTCTCTGATGGGGCTAACTAATCTGTCTTCCCAGGAACACATTTGCTCGGTTTGAATAACTCTTGGATATTGTCCCAGTACTCTCTGTTCCTTGTAATCCACAACTCATAATTCCCCAGAAAATAGAAGCCGCTGGCCCTGTCTGTCTACCCAAAAGGCAGGTCGCGTATGTGTGTGTGTGAGAGAGAGAGACAGAGACAGAGAGAGAATGGTCCCATGCTAAGTTCCTATCAAACCTAAAGCATGACTTGGCTTAAAAATGACAAACATTTAGGGCCTGGGATTGTGACTCAGTGGTAGAGCACTTGCCTCGCACGTATGAGGCACTGGATTCGATCCTCCGCATCACATAAAAATAAGTAAATAAAATAAAGGTATTGTGTCCATCTACAACTAAAAAAAAAATATTTAAAAGAAAAATGATAAATATTCAGCCCAGAGGGCCACTCTGACCGGACATATCTTGCCAAAATATTAAGTGGTCCAAGGAGGGAAATTGGAGGAGAAATCCAAGATACAAATGGACAGGTGTGTGGACATGACCGTGAGGTTGGCTGATAATGTAGAGAGCCTGGGTTGCATGGGAGAAATCTTGCATGCATGAGTAACATGGCTGTCCCTTGGGGACCCTGTCACCGAATGATTATTTCCTTCATGCTGCAGACACACTCCGGATACTTCTCCAGCCTGTACCCCCATCACCAGTTCAGCCCGTTCCCACATCATCACTCTGTAAGTGCCCCTCAGTTCTGCCCAGCTGCCACTCTTCCTGTGCCTAGAGCTGACCCATATGGCCCCTGATTGACTGGCCAAGAGCTGTCTGCTGTGGTTCTGGGCCATCTGGGAGTGCCATGTGTCAGAGCATAAGCATACCAACCTGCCTGGCTCTGCTGGTGCCTCCACATACACCCTGCCACCAGTGAGCAGTCCAGAGGTCAATTAAGAGGCAGTGTTGTGCTAATGAAAGGCTTCAAAGATCTGTGACCAAAGTCTAGCAAATGGGGTTGTCATTCCTTCACATCCCTATATCAGGGACCCCTGGCAACCCTGTCCAGGAGCCTTCTCTCTATCTCAGGGTCCCGGGAGGGGTGAGTTCCCTATTTTCCCGGGCAGTCACCAAGAAGCCTGGTCGGGGAAGGTTTAGTTGCCTTGTGAAATTGCTGCTCCTGGCTGCACAACGGTCTGAGCAGCTTTCATTGCCCCCTAACAGAGTGCCTCAGGACCTTGTCCTTTAATAACTGTTCTGATTTCTTGGGTAAAGATAAAGAAGAAATACCTATCAGAATCACCCAGGTGAACAGACAGCTGTTCACAAACAACCAGTTCAGATGCTCAGGAGGAGCTTGCACATGGACTTCAGTGTCATCCTGCCTGGGTTCAGTCCTATTCTCAGCTGCAGAGCCACAGAAGGATCCTAGTGTGTCCTTTTGGCCTTTTGACCACAGAGCCTTCCCACCTTGGGGCTCACAGAAGGTGCTTGGTAACTATTGAGTGCCTGAGAGAGTGCCCTGTTAGAATATCTTCTGTCTTCTCTTGCCTTTCCAGTATCCAGAGCAGGAGATTGTGAATCTCTTCATCCCAACCCAGGCTGTGGGTGCTATCATTGGGAAGAAAGGGGCACACATTAAACAGCTGGCTCGATTTGCTGGAGCTTCCATCAAGGTAAGGCTGCTTATCCCCATGTCCCTCCCTCCTTGTGCTAGTTCCATGCAACTCTTACAGAATCCCACAGGATCTGGAAAATTTGCTTCAAAGACTATTCCCATCTGCTCCCATCTTTCCTCTTAGTGGAATTAGGAAAAAAAAAAATGTACATGTTTTAATACAACCCAGCCTGATCCTCTTTGGATTTCATTCTCCTCTCAAGAAGATAAAGAAAATGCACAAGGCCCTGGGTTCAATCCCCAGCACCACACAAAAAAAAAAAAAAGAAGAAGAAGATAAAGAAAGGTTGAAGGTTGCTTCTAGGCTAAGGGAATAGACTCAATGCAGCACACGTAAGTGCTTAGCATCTATCAGTGCCTTGGTGCTTTTATTAGTCTGCACTTCAAGGACCTTTAAACTATGAGAAAATAATTAGAATGAAAAAAAAAAAAACTCTTAAAAAAGCAATGATAAAATCATAGATAAACAAAAGCTGATGACATGACCTGATATGAAGCTGGGACTGAGCAGAGAGCCCCTTAGCTTCTTAGTTCATGGAAACAGTTGTGAGCACAGCCATGGCTGCCGTTATAGACCCACATCCTGCCTGCCCGAGTGATCAGAGAAGCTGAAAGGGAAGGATTATTCGACCCTGGTCCTGCTCCAAGCCCAGCTATCAGCTCTGACTCACGGGCAGAATGCTGAGCGTGTCCCAAGCCTCATGAAAACACTTTGGGAAACAGAGTTTCCGTTGTTACGGAAAATAATTTGCTACCATGAGACAACCCGGAATTCCGAACAAGAAGTCTCATGACTTGGAGAGAAAGAATGCTTACACTTTCTCCCCAAGAAGAGCTGGATTTTCTCCCACAGCAAGTGTGCTGGAGAGAAAACAAAAACAAAGGTTCTGGGCAGCGCAGGATAAGGATTGTAGTGAGACCAGGAAGGGATTTTATCTTAGTAAAGTGGTTCCCCTCTCAAGCCTCATTTTTCTCACCTGTAGTTATAGACCCATATCCAAACTAAATGAGACCCCTGAGATGGGGTTCGCAGGAGCCTGTCTCCAGCAGCTTGTCATATGAGATCCTGGCCCAGGTGCCGACAGGCAGGTGCTGGTTACCCCGTTGGGTAGGATGGGGAAAATATAGAGGAGCAATGAGTGGCCGGCTGCACCCTGAGGGCCTTTCCCAGTGTTCAGTGCTTGGTCTGAGGTGCCATGCAGAGGTTGGAATGAGAGTCTCAACTAAAGGGACTTGAGGGATCATCTCTTCAACTCCCTCCTTTATTCAGCTGAGAAGAGAGGAGAGTAGAGCAGCTTGTCAAGGCACCTAAGTGGCAGGACTGGAGCTTAGATACAAACCCCACTGACCTCTGGAATACAGAGTGCCCACTGGGGTCAGCCACAGAAGTACCTCTCCACTTACTGTTGTACATGAGAAATGAGGCCCAGAGAGTTCTGCTGACTTGTCTAAGGCCACAGAGATGAAGGATGTGATGTGCTCAGGTTATCCTATACCTGGTCCAGTGCTTCCCCCCACAGCAACCTTACTGCTCTTTCAGAATCATTCCCAGCAGGACCTCTAGGATAATGAGAGAGTGTGGGGGGAGAGAGAGAGAGATCAGTTCCTTGGACTTTACCTCACAGCATTTTTACAGTCCTATGTCCAAGCAGAGTTGAGTGGTGGTGTGTCACTTTGCTCATGGACTCTGTGCTAAAGACAGAAGGGCTGCACCAGGAAGCAGTCAGGATGGGCAACAGTATTTTTGGTTTAGGATTTTGGGGGGGGGGGTGATATTGTACTGGGGGTTGAACCCAGGGGTCCTCTACCACTGAGCTACATCTCCATCCCTTTTTATTTGAGACAGGGTCTCACTAAGTTGCTGACTCCCAATCTTTCTGCCTCAGGCTCCCTAGTTGTGGAGATTACAGACTTGCACAATAAATGCCTGGCTACTGGGTGACAGTTTTACATGCTGGGTCAAAACCTTCTCCTTCCCCCAGGCCTGCCTCTTTTCATAGCATAAAAAGAAGGAAAGAAAGCCAAGTATTTGTGAAGTTTAAAAATCTGATTTTTGCTAGTTTCCTTTATCTTAGAAGGTCTCTAAACACATCCAGCTCCAGAGTGAGATGAATGGTATCACTAGCTCCACAGATCCCCTTCAGAGGCTGTAACGGGCCACTTTTGATGCTGCCGGGGCAGGGAGAGAACTCCACTCTCATCCACGAGAGTAGAATGCTGGGAGGGGAGTGGGCTGAGCTGAGATTTGGAGATGCCCTGGCTACAGGCAGGAGTTTAGCTCCTTTCACCTGCCTTACCTGCAGAGCATCCCATCAGCTTCTGAATGCCCCAGAAAATGTGGGTGACAGTGTTAGCCAAGGACACTGATTACTGATCCTCGTTCCAACCCCTCAGTCATGTTGCATCTCTAGGTCTGTCTCCTTCAGCCATAAGATAGAGTCCTTCTTCCTGCCCCTCCAGAGGGAGTGAGCCTATGGAATGCCATTCTGATGCTGCTGGAGGACACATGCAGCTTCTAGATATCTGTTCTGGGCTGGTGAATGCTGGGAAGTAGGGCTGTCAGGAGTTTCAGAACCTGAGCAAAGCAGCCACGAGTCACTAAGAAGCAAACTGCGACCCCATAACAGATGATCAGCATGAATCACTAATCAGCCTCTGGCCCTTCTCAGTTTGGGTGTCGTAGAAGCTGGGACTCACTGTGGCTGTGGTCTGGTCTCTCATTTACCCTTTGAGATAAAACCCCAATTTGATGCCAGCTGTGGATCTCAAAGTAGAGGCAGGGCTTCCTGCCTCGGGTCCCAGGGCCAGCCTGTGTGTGGCCTGCCCCTGGATCTGTCTGGTGTATGTGCTGAGGCTGCTGCCAAGAAAGAAAAGGCTGTCCACAGTTAAAGGCAGTCCCCGAGAAACTCAGTGTCGGTCACCTATGTGTCACATTCATTTTCATACAAAGTAATCAAGGCCAGAGATTCAAATGTGTCCCTCCTCCTAGAGCAGAGTGGGATCAGAGCATATTTGAATGTAGGTCTGTCCACAGGAGGAGCCTGGCTTGAAGTGTTTACTAAGAGAAACAAAATCATTTACTAATTTTTAATTTTTTACTTGGTTTGTTTGGGGTTGGAGACAGCATCTTGCCCCATGGCTCAGGTGGCTCTGAAACACCTGGGCTGGAGCGATCCTCCTACCTCAGCTTCCTGAGTAGTTGGGACCACAGGAGCTGCCCCCTGCACCTGGCTGAATTTTTTATTTTTTAAAACTACTTTAAAGCTTTTTGGAAGAAGGCATAATGTGCGAGAAAAAAATATATGTAATAAGGTCTTCCAACAAAAATGCTTGCTGGGTCCGTTGTTCATGTTATAGAAGAGCTCAGACCCACAAAGAACCTTGGGAGTCTGGAGGGGGTCTGAGCTTATATCCATCTTTCACAGGTAAGGGAGGGGAGGAGTTTGCAGAGCCAGGACTGGAACCCAGGTGTCCTGGTTCCTGCTCTGGTGCTGTTGTACTTATGAATGATTTGCCAGAAGGAGACAGTACCGGCCACACCTGTTCTAACTCAGTTGTCACTTACAGCTAACTATATATGGAGCTGGGAGTTAGAACCAGGCTGACTATTCCTGCAAACTGGATTCCAATTTAACACCTCAGCAGACTAGCCGTTCCTTCCCTCTAAGCCCTGGGTGGGTTGGCAGAACTGTAAACCTCCCTATCCCTAGAGTTATTGACTTGTTGGTTATTTCCTAGGATGTGGCTTGGTGAAAGGAGGCCAGTCACTGTTGGGGCACAGGGCAGAGACAGGCAGGAACCGCATACCCAAACTTGATAGTGAGCATTATGGACTTAACTTCCTAAGACCCAGGGTGAGGCAGCGTGGTGTCAAAGTAGCAGGTCCAGAGGCAGAAGCCCTGTTGAGCTACGTAATACTAGCGTGTAGGCCTTCCACCCAGACAAGCAGGAGGGGTTTGACATTAGCATTGTCTTCTTCCCTTGTGACCTGCAGATCGCCCCAGCAGAAGGCCCAGATGTCAGTGAAAGGATGGTCATCATCACTGGACCACCAGAAGCGCAGTTCAAGGTCAGTGTCCTGCAGACTGTGGGCACAGGGAAGCCACCTCAGAGGCATGGTCAGGTTCTTCTTTGGAGGCTCACCATCTGTTTCACTCCCAGCTGCTACTCATAGGTTTCAGAATCATTATTTGTCCCTTCCCAGCTGTCCCCTCTGCACATTTCCCTTTGCTAGAAAGCCCTCCTTCCCTTCTCTCCAAGGAAATAGAGGTCACCTGTTGAAGCCCCATCCAGGTGGTAACTCCTCCATCATGTCTGATTCCTCACCCATGGTTTTGAGGATGACTGTCTCAGACTCATTTGATCATCACCACTCTTCAAACTATGATCATTAACATGGGCACAGGGGGAAAGACATGGTATATTGAAAGTTCTCTGGTGAGGTGTGTGGTGGTGGTGTTGTGGTTTTACCTCTTTTTTCTTTTTTCTTTTTTTTTTTCCTAAAAAAATGGGTTTTCTAAAAGCCAGAAACACATCTTAATTTATAAAAGTATAACCCTATTATAATTTTAAAATTCTTGAAATTTAACAGAGGATAAAGTTAACACATGTGAGAACCATTCAAAACCAATAACCCTTCAACTTGCAAGTAGACAAAATGTGTTATATCCATACAATAGAATATTATTCAGCCTTAAAAAGGAAGGACTAATACCAAACATGCTGTGAATAGGGATGAACCTAGAAAAAAGCATGCCAAGTGAAAGAAGGCAGAAATGAGGGCACATGGGATATGGTTCCATTTATATGAAATGCACAGAGTAAGCAAATTCAGAGACAAAGTAGATTAGTGGTTGTCAGCAAATGGGGATAGGGGTTTTAATTTAGGCAAATGGCTAGATAGATAGTGGTGGTGGTCACACAACATAGTGACCACTGAAGTGTACTTTAAAATGATAAATTTTAGATTGTGTGAATTAGTCTTGTTTTTTTGTTTGTTTGTTTGTTTTGTTTAAGTTAAATAAAGCAAACTCTAGCTTCTTGGCTACATTAACTTCAAAGTAAGACATCAAACAGCAACTCAAACCAAGTGCGGTGGCACATGCCTGCAACCCAGCTACTTGGGAGGCTGAGGCAGGGAATTGCAGCTTCAAGGCCAGCCTCAGCAACTTAGGAGAACCCTGACTCAATATTAAAAAAAAAAAAAAATTAGGGCTGGGGTTGTGGCTCAGTGGCAGAGTGCTTACCTCTCACATGTGAGGTTCTTGGATAATCCTCAGCACCACATAAAATGTCTAACTAAAAAATATTTTAAAAGCATTTAAAGGTCTGGGGATGCGGAATGTGGTAGCTCAGTAGTAGAGCGCTTGCCTAAGCTGCTTGGGTTCTATACCCAGCACCAAAAGAAAAAAAAGCTCAGACTCATCAAATCCCATCACCACCACCTTCACCTTCATCCTTCTCCATTCTTTAATAATTGCACATAGCCTGGCAGGAGGGAGTTAAGAACACCCTGAATTATATGCTTCCCAGTCCAACAAAAAAAAAAGAAAAGAATGCCCTAACAGATTCAATCAACCAAATAATAAATAGGTGCTAGGAATATGGAAATAAGATACAGTTCTGGCCCTTCACCAGTACCTCCAGCGACAACACAACACTTCTAGAGGAGGGGGTCACCTGCAACCCACAAAGACAGAGCATGCTGGGGCACAGGTTTCACAGCACAGTGGCCAATGTAGCAGGCACAAGGACCAGTTCTGTGAGGGCTGAGGCACGCATGTCTGGCCAGAGTGGGGGCAGGGACATAGCATGTCCCATCACTGGATTCTATAGTTCCCACAGCAGCATGAATATCTGCTGACTCAGTCACCAGTCACATTTTTCTCAGGCCCAGGGACGAATCTTTGGGAAACTGAAAGAAGAAAACTTCTTTAACCCCAAAGAAGAGGTGAAGCTGGAAGCCCACATCAGAGTGCCCTCTTCTACAGCTGGCCGTGTGATTGGCAAAGGTGGCAAGACCGTAAGTCTGCTTTGGTTTACTCCATCACCTGGTTGACCTGTCCCTCTGATCCCTGTGGCTACTGTCCCTTGAAATATACAGGGTCCTAGGCTAACAGAGTTTCTCCTGGCATCTGAGCCATTTCACACATGGGAATCTCAGTATTACTCTAGAATTTAGGATCCAGTTCCACAGTGCTGAGCCTAATGCCAAAAACACCAGGTTCCTGTGCCCGGTACCACCGTCCCAGCTCCACTCCCCTAAGACAGGGAAGCTATCTTTTGCACCCTGCACATACAAGCATAGCAGGCAATAAAAGGGTAGGGCTCCACCCAGAGTATCTGCCAGCCTAGTTGGCAGAGAACCAGCTGGGACTCCAGGCCAGAGGCCTGTAGGGTCTGGTGTTCTGCACTCTCCCTCCCGTGGTTCCCATCTTCTGGCTAACTCCCAAACACAGCCATCTGGTACAGCAGAGCTAGCTCAGCAATAGGGTGGAGGACAAGAAGGAAATAATTTTTTAAAAAATTATCTATATTTTCAGTCTGAAGGTGGCAATAACAAAGTAATTTGAAAAGTACAAGAGCTGGGGACATAGCTCAGTGGTACACCATGTGCTTCTTATGTACAGGGCCCTGGGTTCCATCCCCAGTACCACAGGGAGGGGAAAGGAGGGGAGAAAAGGGGAGAGAAAGGAAAGAAGATGCCAAAGCATGAGCTCTGAAGCTTGTAGGAGTGAACAGAGTGGTTTGTTGGACACATGTATGTTCTGGAACACGTCATATTTGTCTAGTGTGGAGATGGCCCCTGAGAAGTTTACAGTAGAGTACATGCTGGCAGGAGGCTGTGTTGGGTGGTAGGACTTGGGGAGGAGGTGTCTACAGTCCTGTGTATGTTTGCTGTTTTTACGAAGTTCTTTCTGTGGAAATTCCTACAGAGGATTCCAAACCAAGTTCTAGTCACTTTTATGCAAAAGAATCCAGTTACATGGTATGCACGTCACTCCCTGTGTCCAGGAATGCAGTCCACATCCCAGGGTGTACACACTGAGCCTAGGCAGAGTTGGAATGTAAGAGACAGAAGAAAACAAATCCAGCAGGGAGTAGAATCCTAAGCCCTGGGATGTCCTATTTGGTTATTGTAGAACCAATCACTGAATTTTTTGTGTCTCCAGACACTGTCCACTAAGACTTGCTGAACCTGCCTGAGTTCAGAATCATGCTAGGGGCCAGAGGAGGGAGAATGAGCCCTCAGGAAGTAACCAGTGTCTTTGGAAAGCAGCAGCAGGGAGGCACAAGGAGCAGCCACAGAATGCAGGAGATGGGTTGAGGTAGGAATGTCACCATTGGCAAGGAGAGAGAATAGCAGCCCAAGGCCAGGAACAGCAAAAGCAAGACTTAATAGCTGGAGTGAAAATGGAAAGCAGGGTGCAGAGTGGGAGCTGATTAGAAGGAAGAGTTTACCGCAGTGAGTCAGACAAGAGGAGGGGTCACCGTTGGTGGGCACCCAGGGAGGGCATTCCAGGAAGAGTGGCCTTCTTACCTGATGAACTGGTTAGCCAGGGTCTCTGTGTGTGCAGAGCTACATTGATGTAAATTCCAGAAACAGAGAACTCAGCCCCAGAAGTAGCCCATGGCATGAGGGTTAGACTCCCTCTCCCTGTCACTGAGCCTCCCAGGGCCCAAATCCACAGACCTCTGGTGGCCAGGCAGGGAAGCTGAGTATCCTAGACTGAAGGAAAGGAGAGGTGTCTCCTCCTTGCTCTGCCCCTTCCCTTTCCCTCCTGGCCTCAGTGTTGGCCTTGATGGGAGATGGAAGCCGCCCAGCCCACTGCCTCTTCTCCCTCCGCAGGTGAATGAACTGCAGAACTTAACCAGTGCAGAAGTCATTGTGCCTCGCGACCAAACACCAGATGAAAACCAGGAAGTGATCGTCAGAATTATCGGGCATTTCTTTGCTAGCCAGGTACCTGTGCTGCGAGGGCCCAGTCTCTTTCCTTTTTTCTGCCTAAGTAGTGGTCTGTCAGGTGGTTGGGATACCCCCCACTCCCACTCCCAGACACACACACACACACACTCACACACACACACACACACACACACGAACCTCTTCCTGCTTCTCCTGGCTCTTCAGGGACTGCCATGCCTACAGGGCGGGGCAGGGGCAGCGCCTATACCTTCTTACTGCTGCTGTCCGCCAGGGATGCTAGGAGAGCCTGAGGAAAGTGGAAACTGTTGAGGCCAGTCCAAGAGGCTCAGGTTCGAGGTCTCAGCAACCTCACCTCCCCACCCAGGCCTCAGTCACAGCCTTGGTCTGCAAGGAGGTACATACCAGGCAACCCCCTCCAGACCCAGGTGCTAGAGTCTCACTGCGAAAGGTTAAATGCTTACCATGCTAGGCTCTTGGATCTGTTTTGCTCTCTCCTTCCTCACCTCATCATTGCATGCTCTCCACGTAGCTGCTTCCCTTTCATATGGAGAGGCCAGCACTGCAGCAAAATGTAGCCTAGTTCTCTTGGATGCTTTTGCTGGTTTGGTTTTGGGAGAGAGTAGTCCCTGTTCTTATCCTAAGCCAGCAAAGACAAGCAGTCTGCGCTCCCTGCGGCCTGCCTGGTGCACTCAGATTTCTGCCTGGGTCTCCTGGAATCAGAGCCCAGGCTATACCCACCTGGGCCCTCAGCACCCCAGGAAAACATCTGAACAGCCAGGCTGCTGTAGTGCATTCTGCAGGCATCTCCCTTGGTTGAGGGTCAGGCTGGGGCTCATGCTTAGTGCTCCAGCTTTTCAGGGTAGTATCTGGGAAAGATGGGTGGTCCTGAGTGCAGCTCAGGTGTATACAGTAGGATCCAGATGCTGTCTGGCCTCTGCAAGACCCTATCATTGGCTGCCTGTTGCTGTGTCCTGGCCTCTGGTCATGAATGGGAAGCTCTTGGGGCTCTACCCGGTTATCTTCCATCCAGCAACCTGGAGTGGAAAGGAGGGGACCTCTGCCACTTATTTCTAGGGAGAAAAAGCCCTGGAATAAGGGATCCAGGGGAGGTAACATCTGAACATCCCACCCTTCCCCAAGTCCCAGACCCTACCCCTCTGTGCATCCTCAGAACTGGGTTCCTTTCTTCCCTTGTCCCCTCCTCTCCCTTGCTGCAGACTGCACAGCGCAAGATCAGGGAAATTGTACAACAGGTGAAGCAGCAGGAGCAGAAATACCCTCAGGGAGTCGCCTCACAGCGCAGCAAGTGAGGCTCCCGCAGGCACCAGCAAACAACGGATGAATGTAGCCCTCCCAACACCTGACAGATGAGACCAAACACAGCCAGCAGATCGGGAGCAAACCAAAGACCATCCTGAGGAATGAGAAGTCTGCGGAGGCAGCCAGGGCCTGCAGAGGCCCTGAGAACCTGGGGCTGAGGAGGGGCACAGGGAAGGCTGGGTTCCCCAGAACCACCAGCCCAGCCACCCACCTTCCTCCCCCAGCTTCTGCAGGCTTCCCAGCCATTCACCTCCCCTCACTCAGATCTCTCCCCCACTCCCATGACGCTATCCCTTTTAGTTGAACTAACATAGGTGAACGTGTTCAAAGCAAAGCAAAATTCACACCCTTTACTTTTTTGTGGAAAATCGTCTCTGTACATGTGTGTACATATTAGAAGGGGAAAGATGTTAAGATATGTGGCCTGTGGGTTGCACAGGGTGCCTGCAGCATTAATATATTTTAGAAATAATATATCAAATAACTCAACTAACTCCAATTTTTACTCAATGATTAATTTTGTTTTCTTTTTTTTTAAAAGAAAGCAGGCTTTTCTAGACTTTAAAGTCTTTGGGAGGTCTAACGGTGTAGAAAGGAACTTTTAGGCCACCCACACAAAATTCACCCAGAGAGAAATCCCGTCGAAGGACACTCATGGCAGTTCTGGATCACCTGTGTCTGTCAACAGAAGGGATACCGTCTTGAAGAGGGGACTCTGTCCCACTTCATCCCTGTCTAGCTCACACACCCATTTCTCTTTGCTTCACAGGTTTTAAACTGGTTTTTTGCATACTGCTATATAATTCTCTGTCTCTCTCTGTTTATCTCTCCCCTTCCTTCCCCCCCTCCCCTGCTCCATCCTGACTCTTTTGAATTCCCTCATCCCACTGTCTGATTCCCTGTATCTACGCACCCCCCAGGCAAAGCAGTGCTCTGAGTATCACATCACACAAAAGGAACAAACGTGAAACACACAAACCAGCCTCAACTTACACTTGGTTACTCAAAAGAACAAGAGTCAATGGTACTTGTCCTAGCATTTTGGAAGAGGAAAACAGGAACCCACCAAACCACCAGTCAACCAAACAAAAATTCCATAAAGAAAGAATGTATTTTGTCTTTTTACATTTTGGTGTATAAGCCATCAACATTCAGTGAAATGATTTCTTTCTTTTAAAAAAAAAATTGTGGAGGAAAACAGCAATTTACACAAGGTTGTTGGCCCAGGGCGTTAAATTTACAGATTTTTTTAACAAGAAAAACACACAAAAAAAAGCTACCTCAGGTGTTTTTTACCTCAGCACCTTGCTCTTGTGTTTCCCTTAGAGATTTTGTAAAACTGATAGTTGGAGCATTTTTTTATTTTTTTAATAAAAATGAGTTGGAAAAAAAATAAGATATCAACTGCCAGCCTGGAGAAGGTGACAGTCCAAGTGTGCAACAGCTGTTCTGAATTGTCTTCCGCTAGCCAAGAACCTATATGGCCTTCTTTTGGACAAACCTTGAAAGTGTTTATTTAGAGAAAAAAAAAAAAAAGATAACAAAGAAAAACAGAGAGAGAAAATATTGGAGATGTCCTGAATTTCAATAGGGTACGCGCCATTAGGGCTTTTTGCGCTAAAGGATGAACATGTACTGGTTTATGTGAACAAGCCATTATACCACCAGACTGCAATGCCAGTTTCCTCTACTGCAAACAGTGTTCTGTGACAAAAAAAAGAAAAAAAAAGAAAAAAAGAAATATATCCAGCTAACAAGATTCTGGTGTCTTGGTGTTTTATTTTACTAAATGTTGTCACAATCACAAAGTCAGCCAAGTCCCAACTCTGAAGGACTTGGGGAAACAAGGTAGTCTGTGCAGCCAGGCCCTGAGAAGCTACTCTGAGGAGGCTTTGTCCACAAAAGCCTTGGGGGAGAAGCTGAGCTAGATCAGTGGTCCATAGACCAGCAGCCTCAATATCACCTGGGAACTTGTTAGAAACAGACTCTCAGGGATGGGCATGTGGCTCAGGGGTGGAGCCCTTGCCTAGCACATTCGAAGACCTGGGTTCCATTCCCCACACTGCAAAAACGAAACAGATTCTGCAGGTCTGCCTTGAATCAAAACTTGTCAGGGTGAGACCTGGTGTCTGCTTCAGCAAGCCCTCCAGGTGATTTCCTGTGTGCTTTTAAGTTTGAGAGCCACAGAACTAGAGAGATGGATTGGCTACATATTGAACTAGGCAAGACAGGTCTCTGTCATTATGTCCAACAATTCAAGGGAACAAGTACTTCACCCTTCATGGGCAGTGTTTGGGGAGGTCAGAGAAGGACAGGAGTCACCTTGGGCTGGAGGGTGGGAGCTGTACCTGGCATGCCTACTGATATACCATGAAATGGTGGGAAACAATATCCTGCTCCATTTATAAGCTAGCTTGTTCATAGACCTATGAGGTCCACCACAGATAGCTGCTAAAAGTCTATGCAGTTTTGAGGACAAAGATCTAATACTTAGGTGCTGTGATATGCTCCTGGAGTACCAGCTACTCTGAAGGCAGAGGGTCTATTGTGCCAGGGTTCAAGGCCAGCCTGGGCAACACAGCAAGACCCCATCTCAACAAAACAGACCTAGTACTTGACTGTCAGAAATGGTCAATTAGGCTTTTGGGGGTGACATTCATAGTACAGCAGAGGCAGATGGTGAACTCATGGGATTCCAGAGTAGCCACGTGCCTCCTAAATCACTTAAAATGGGGCACCCTTGATGCCCCATGCCCTCTCCTGAGTTTCTCATTATTTCCAATCTCGGTGATGCCGATTTCACTTTTTAAGTTTTACAGTGTGTAGATTCCAAGCTATTCCCCCCACTGTTTTTCTCACTGCTATGGCATGAACTTGGACAGGGCCAGATGGTCCCCTCATGTGGAAACCCCTGTACCTGTGGCTCCATGTTGCCCCTCCTCTATTTAGAATTCAAACCCACTTCCCTCTCAGGTGGAAACAAACTCTGGTGGACAGACAGTCCAAGAGAAACCGTGGGGTTCCTGGCAACCAAGGATATTACTGTAAGCCATTCCTTGGGTTGAGGTAGCCATATCAAATGAACAAAGAAAAACACATCTGTAAAGGAAGGACTTCAGGTACAGGCAAATAACCTTGGTAATGACTCTCAAGACTAGACATCAGGGAGGGGAAGAAGTGACACAGGAGCCTCAAAAAAAAAAAAAAAAAAAAAAGAACCCTCTTGTCTCTGTCCCTCTGGTTTCATTCCTTGGCCTTTATTCCAGATGGCAGAATTTCAAGTTTAGCTCCTCAAGTACCCATTTCCAAAATATTTGTCTATGAACCTGTGTGGGAAAGGGAGGGAGGTGCCAAGATGATGCTTAGCTCGCCCTGGTACAAAGCACTCAGATTGTCCTAGGGTTGCAGAAATGAAGGGGAGACCATGTGGAGAGACAGGAGGAACGAGACCAGCTGGCCTTGTTTGTCCCTTGGCAAAGACTTTCTTCTAACGACCCATTTTCAGAGAACACAAATGCTGGGTTATTTGGCACCTGGGCTAGGTGCCCTGGAGCTTCCCAAGGGCAGTGCCAGCATGAGGCCATCGTCTACACAAGTGCATCCAGTCCCATCTCACTGTGAAAAAGAGCTGTTCACCCACATGTGTTGAGAGCCACAGCCGAAGGGGCCCCAGCAAACTTCCAGCTGCCAGCAAACTTCCAGCTGCCGGCTGATGATTGGCTCACAGCGGCCCCAGCAACATCTAGCTGATTGGCTCCTCTGCAGTGATGCTCATTGGGCTGTTTCCCTGCCCTTTCAGACCACGGAGCTGCTCATTGGGGGACTTTTTTGGCTCCGCCCACGTGACCCAGCCAATCGGCCTCAAGAGCAGGAGGATTGTGGGAGGTGGAGAGAGAGGCTTGTGGGAAGCCTGTGGTGGCAGTTGGGGCTCTGAGGATTTTTCCTGAGAGGCTGTTTTGTTTGGCGTGTGTGGTTCTAAAAATAAAGTTAGTTTCTTTTGACAAGTGGCTCCTGATTGTGCCCAGCCAGACTGCGGCATTTGGTGGCTCGCACGGGGAGCGACTGAGGGTAAGTGAAACTGCTCGCCCCTGAGGGCAGGGCGAGAGGATGGGTAGCCATTTTAAGATTCCTCTTTTATTTTGCTTCACTTTTGTTTTAAGTTGCCTGTCCCTGGAGATGAGTGAGACGGAAGAAAAACCACTCACATCTGAGGAAAAACTATTTACGTCTGAGGAACAGATAGGGAGAAAGGACGGATGCACATGTCAGGAGGATAGAAAGGCTATAATGACTTTTTGTTGTTCCCTTTTTATTTCATTCTGTCTCAGTTTTGTTTGGCGTCATCTTGTTGGGTTGTATTATAGTAGAAATATGGGATCAGAAATTAGTAAAAAACAAACTGAAAGAGTGTTAAGTAAATTGTTAGAGGAAGGAGGCATCTCAGTAAAATCAAGAACAGTCAGGGCATACGTTGATACAATACAAAAATGTAGCCCATGGCTTTTTAAGGAGGAGTTGTTAAATATATCACAATGGAACCATCATGGTGAAGATTTAAAAAGAATAGAAAAGCAAAGCCCAGGGACTCTGCCAGTTGGCACATTGCCATTGTGGACGTTCGTATCTTGTTTGCTTAGTCCAAAGCCTTCAGTTCAGACAATGGTAGAGGAAGGAGAAGACATATTGATTCAAGTAAAAGAGAAGGTCTCTCAAGTTAGTCAGACAGAGGAAAAGATTCAAGTGAAAGAGAAGGCCTCTCAAGCTAGTCAGACAGAGAAAGAAAGTGTAAAACAGAAAAAGCCATCAGGGGGAAAGTTACAACAGGAGACTGCTACTAACACCTTTCTATCACCAGAGGTTGTAAGTGTCCAACTAACAAGGCCACCTCCATATGCTGGGAGGTCCCCAACCCCCACAGTTGATAGTTGGGATCCTGAGACAAGATCTCAAATATTAACATGCCCTGTATTTGAGGCAGGAAGGCAGCGAGTTTACCATGTTTTAAATTTCAAAACAGTGAAGCAGCTAAAAGAGGCTGTAACAACCTATGGTCCTCAAGCACCCTTCACTGTAAGCATGGTTGAATCCATTAACAACTTGAACATGACGCCAGCAGATTGGGCTAATATGTGTAAAGCTGTGCTAAATGGAGGACAATACCTGTTATGGAAGGTTGCCAATGAGGAATTTTGCAAGGAGACAGCTAGGCGAAATGCAGCAGCTGGTTATCCTCAGAGAAATCTAGATATGTTGTTAGGAAAGGGACCTTATGAGGATCAGCAGCAACAAATTGCATATGATCCTGGTGTATATGCACAAATTGCTGCAGATGCAATTAAGGCATGGAAGACTTTACAAGGACATGGAGGTTTACAAGGTCAATTATCTAAGGTAATACAAGGAGCTAATGAACCTTATGCTGAATTTGTAGATAGGCTTATTCAAACAGCTACCAGAGTTTTTGGAAATACAGAACAAGCAATGCCATTACTAAAACATATGGCTTATGAGCAAGCGAATCGTTGGTGCAGAGATATCATTAGACCATGGAAACATGAAGATTTAAACACATATATTAAATTATGTAGAGACATTAATGAACAAGAGCAAGTCGTGGCAGCTGCAGTAAAACAGGCTTTAGATGCCAGAGACATTAATGAACAAGGGCAAATTGTGGCAGCTGCAGTAAAACAGGCTTTAGATGCCAGGCCAAGAACATGCTACAATTGTGAACAAACAGGACATTTTAAAAGGAATTGCCCCATTGGAGGAGGGTTTAACAAAACTAGGTATCAAAGGAGTAGAATACCAGGTATTTGCCCACGATGCCGTAGAGGGAGACATTGGGCTAATGAATGCCGTTCTCAAACCACCATAGAGGGTACTCCATTATCAAAAAACGAACAAGGACCAGGTGTTTATCCACGATATCGTGGAGAAAGGCATCGGGCTCCATTGCCAAAAAATGGACAGGGGGGCCCAATGCTCCAGGGCCCCAAACCACAAATATACGGAGCACTGGAGGAACCCAGCAACCCCATCAGGGTAGTGCCCAGGACACATTGTCCATCAGATCCCTCATCAGACAAACCAGAGGGAGCGCAGGGTTGGACATCTGCGCCTCCGCCAGAGCAGTACTAACTCCAGAGATGGGAGTTCAAATCATTCCCACAGGGGTGAAAGGACCTCTTCCCAAAGGAACAGTAGGCTTATTATTGGGACGCAGCTCTTCTACTCTAAAAGGACTTATGATAAGTCCTGGGGTAATTGATCCCGATTATGAAGGTGAAATAAAAATTATAGCCAGTTCTCCAAAGGGTATATCAGTAATTTCACCAGGAGATAGAATAGCACAGTTACTAATAATACCCAGCCTACATGATAAATTTCCAAAATTTATCATGGGTTGCAGAAATGAAGGGGAGACCATGTGGAGAGACAGGAGACAGGAGGAACCAGACCAGCTGGCCTTGTTTGTCCCTTGGCAAAGACTTTCTTCTAACAACCCATTTTCAGAGAACACAAGTGCTGGGTTATTTGGCACCTGGGCTAGGTGCCCTGGAGCTTCCCAAGGGCAGTGCCAGCATGAGGCCATCGTCTACACAAGTGCATCCAGTCCCATCTCACTGTGAAAAAGAGCTGTTCACCCACATGGACTCAGAACATTACAGACATAGTAGTAACTTCTTCAGCTAGAAACCTCCAACTCTCTCTCTTTTTTTTTTTTTTAAGAAAGAGAATTTTTAATATTTA